GAATAGATGAGGCCAATGCTGCATAATCTTGTGCGAGACGTCGGACCGGACATTCGACTTCTTACTGAACTACTCTACTCACTGCAAAATAGCTTTCAGGCGGCTATTCTGCAGCATACCGTTGAGCTCATACAGACTTTGCGAGCGGAAAAAATGAAGCTGCTTGAGGAGAAAGAAGCTGTTATAAACGCGAAGAAACGAAAGATTCAAGGTGTGCATGGTCTTTGATTCTATCAGTTCAGAATTTATATTTAGAATTCCATCTCTCTTTTAATTCTTGGTATTCTTGGTAATATTCGATATGATATCGAGTAAATGCAGATATATGGGTTTGAAATGTTTTATAAATGAATCCCCTTGGATAAGGGGAGATGGGAGTTCCATACGTCACGTGTCAAAAAATAATACTTGGCGTATTATGACGATGCTGTGGGAAATCTGACAGATCCAGATGATTCCAGCCAGATGATGATTTGCAGTAACTAGAACATCTGTCATTTCATAGTCCAGTTCTTCAGCTACGCAGCTATCAGTTCTTTCGTTTGCTCTAACCAGTGCTGAATTGCCTCCCGGCGATCCTGATATTTCTGACCAATAACAAAAATGGATAAGCATAAATACCTCTTTCCACGATAGTGAAGTAATAGATTCCGCCGGTTCTTTTGCAGTATATAGTAATAATGTGTTTTGCTTCATGACCGGTATCTGGCCATTGCCACTGCAGGAGTTGGCTGGAATTTTTTTTTTTTTTTTGCTCAAAACATATTTCCCATGAACTTTTGAAGCTGCAGATGAGGATGTACGCGAACGTGATGTGATTGATGAGCTGACGGCGGCACTGGAGCAGGAGCGTCAGCTGCGACATCTCTACGAACGCATGTTCACATTTTGGGCCAGTTTTCCGGTGCTTTCACAACTACTCGCAAAGGCGAACACGTTGCTCCTCGGTCCGTCTATTGCACACCCGAATGTTGGTACATCTTCAACTGGCCAGACACGTGGTGCTGCTGCTGCCGCTGCATTTACAGGTTTTTTTTTTTTTGAAAATTTTCAGAAATGGTAGTATGTGGGAATGGTAAAATGCGCTTTGAATGGAAGTGAAACTCAAACCCCCTTCCTTATTTACTCTTTACAAAGTGCAGAAACAGTCAGAAATAGCTCAAGTGATATTTTGGTGCAACCACAGTCTGGCAAGATTGTCGATGACTCGCTTTGGATGAATAAGTGAACTTGAGATAGGCAGGTATAGAAATTAAGCGCGTTTGAAAAGGAATGTACTCCTAATTGGAGAATCAAAAAAAGCTCTGTCCGACCTGAAACGCTTGCTTTCAGCCGCGTGTTCAATATCCAGAGAAACAACCAGAGTTTGGCGTTCAGCCATTTAACTTTTGGTTTTTCATGCATTTTGACACCTGCTAATAATTTTTAAGACCATAATCAGATAGTTTTAGCATCGCCAACAGATGAATTTGGTGCTCGTCTACTCAGTTAATTACACTTTTCAAACCACTAGAACCTGAGGTCCCTATTCCAGTTAATATCCCTCAGTTTTTTTCTCTTCCTTTAGCTGTTTCAGTGTTGCTCTGCATGCTT